AAATTATGAATTTATGTATAAAAATCATATTTTGAGTTTTTCTTACTAATTTGACATGTTTGGATTGAAATTTGAGATTGTGTAAGTTGATATTAGGATGTGATTTATTTTCTAGGGTTGATGTTGTCTCATTTATGTTGTTAAACACTTGGGGTTGATTTTATCATTTTTCAATATGCAGGGACCAAATGGATATTTGTCGTAATGAGTATAAATTGCAGGTGAAAGGTCGCAAACAAGGGCAGCCGCGAAGGGACCTTCACCCATCGCCGGAGTTTGGTTGTCGGCCGACGACCTTTCATCTTCTAGGTCGGCGACTCTTTACCTTCTCACGCCGACCAGTCACTTTCCACTGTCATTCACCCACGCCGGTGACATACCATTGTTTCCACGCCGCGACTCTTCATCTTCCATCGGAGTTTGCACCATTTTTCGATGCCGATTGAGCTCCTTTTATGCTGGCCATCACCCCATCAATTTCCCCTCACATTTCTGCCGCCGATCTACCCTTTTTCTAGCAAGATCCATCACCTTGATCAGACAACTCTTCGACGTCCTAGCGCGATTTTGCTCACTTTTCGATGACCTTTCATCTCCCCAGGACTTGATCCAAACTCCCCATCACCTGAGCTTTCCATCGGTATCTTCGGATCCCATTTCTGCCACCATTTGCCAGAAGACCCGCCGGAAAACTAATGTATTCCGGCGAGTGCGACTATGTGTATTTCGTGCTATCCGTTGGTCGTTTTCGCTCTTTCTTCGCATCATCTCATTTTCGGTTACGTCCTCTTTGCGATGACAACTTCGTTCCCGACGTTCCAACCTTCGTTGACGCCACCATGAGCGGCTAAGCTCCTAGTTGCCTGTTACGGTGTAGGGAGATCAGGATTGACACTCATGGATCTTCTCAGCAATTCTCGACTAGTTAGATGGCCCGAATGTTGGATATTTGGTTAAGTTTCTTGTATTCAGATTATATTTGTTTTCGTTTCAGTTTGTTTGTGATGCTTTAATATTATTCTGATGCTCGACGTGCTGAATTGATAATGTCCATTGAGAACATTTGTTGATATATAACTTTTTGCATAATTGAATGTCGGTTTGAGATTATTGAATGTTGTTTATGACTTTAAACTGCTTCGGTACTGATTACAATCAAGTTGTATTAGCGTTTAATATCATTTCTACTAGGAATGCATTTGTTGTGTAATTAGTTGATTGGATGATACAAGTTGATAGGTTGTACTTGTTAACATTGTACCAACTAGTGGTGTGTAAGGGTTTAGCATTTTTCGGTTAGTCAATGATAGTCTTTAACCAATCGATATGTAACTAAAACGACGGGGAGACAAGATAGATTATACCTAGATTGCTAGGAGATATTTTTATTGATTTGCCTAGCCTTGTAGGTTTAGGAAATTGAAGAGCGAGGAGAGGAATTGTGAGAGTTGGTCTTGAGTCAAACCGAACTTGTAGCGGCAACGCTTTTAATATTGTGTTTTAGTTAGCAATTTATTTGATGTTTTTAATTTCCTGCAATTAATTAGTTTCCTTAGTTTTAATCAATCAATTTTCCAATTACTCTTTCGTTAACTCAAATATTCATTAGGTCGTTAGTCTTGCTCTTTGTGGATTCGACCCTGCTTACCACTAACTACGGTATTTAGGATTAATTTTGTGGCCGTTACGACCGGTTCGACAACAATGCACATGGGAATTGAAGATGATTTTTGTTTCAATGGTTTTGTAGGTTGTGAAAATCCAAGACTTTTTTGGTAAATATGGTAGCACATATGGGAATTGAAAATGATATTGATAATGTGGATTATACAGTTTTCGTTAGTCTTTTTATTTGGATTTCAAGTACTTTGTGATGCATTTTGACCTGAATTGTTGTTTAATTCTTTGCATTCTGTGTTTCAGGTTAAAATGGACAATTTATGCAAATAAGGACAAAATTGGAAGTTTTTGACTCAAAAGTTAGCGGATCTCAGAAGTTAGGAGAGTTCTGAAGCAGGATAAAGCACGATGAGGCTTGTTCCAAAGGGAGAGCATCGAAAATCAAAGAAGGAATCGAAGAAGCAAGCAGAGTGGCAGTTCTGTAATTTCAGAACTCGTCAAATAGCTTCGCCCCGACAAAGATTTGTCCTTCGCCGCGGCGAAGTACGCCAGACACTCCAGATCTGTTTCTTTCTTCGCCGCGGCGACGGTCATTATTTGCAGTTTTGTTAAACGCACAGTTTCATTTTGTGCGTGTTTTTGGGCAAGGTATAAAAGGAAAACTAAGCCTTTTGTCCAAAGGTCTTCGTTTTGAGGTTAAACAGCTTTTACATATTCTTTTGATGAATTTTTGATGCGATTTTGGATTATAACAAGGGCGAAGATTCGATTCTAACTAAGGGATTCATCTTTTGGGGAGATTTCTTATCTTTTATCTCAGTTTCATTATGTTGAACTTGATTATTTCTATTTTTCGTTTTTGTATTGTTAATTTAGCTATGAACTAACCATTTTTGGGTTAGGGTTTTGATTGTAGTTTGGATTTTAATGGGTTAAGTGTTTGATTGTTTTACTTTCATATGAGAATGCTTTGGTTGTGTGTTTACTCTGAGTTTTAATGGATATTGTGATGAACATGATGAGATTGAGAAATGAGTCATGTTATGCTTCTTGGGTAATCATTATAATATTGGATGCTAGAAATATAATTCAAGATTATGAATCATTTTAGGATTCTTTTGCTTAATGAGTTCGGAGTTGTTAATCTTCAATTTGTTGGGTGCGGAAGGTTAATAAGGATGAATTGGAAAACACAGCCCGAGAGGGTGTGTTCACATCTTAGTGAGTTCGATTTACAACCATTGCGTATGAATGTGATGTAGTGTAATTTTTAGGTTTAACCCATAAAATCCAAATGAAGTCAAAACCCTACCTATTTTACTTGAATTGATTATCCGTGTTTTAATATTGCATCTTAGTTAAATTTTAGTTTAAAATTTATTGTTAAGTTTAATTGCAATTAGCTCCCATCAATCCAAAGAAGTCGTTTGCTCAACTTGTAACATTAGTAACTTAGTGTTTAGCTAACAATCCTCGTGGGAACGATACTTTACTCATCATTTTATTACTTGTGCGATTAGTATACTTGCACATATTGCATGTGTAGGAAACACGCATCAATATATACGTGGTTTTTTGTTGATAGATTTTTTTTTGTTTGAATGATTAAAAAGTATTAACTATTGTTTGAGGGTTCCTATCAATTGATATCAGAGCATGATCTTGCGCCTACGTGACATGCACAGGTGGCAAACTAACATTGGCCTAGGCTGCTACCCCAAGAAAGGTGGATCGGTTCGAGGTAAGGGGATCTATGAAGTCAACAAGGGGCTGTGGACATCGATTGCAGAACCGTGGTGGAATGTTAGGATCCTATGCAAGGGAAAGGGGAGGGCATTGGATTATAAATGCTCGTGTCATTGAGTATTTCAACTCACCATTTTTCATTTTTAAACCCTAAACACCAACACCCCCCCCCCCCCCACACCCCCCCCCCCCCCCCCCCCCCCCCCCCGGACCCACCTTCCCTTCCTCTTCGTCTTCCAAGTCATCACAGGGATCATGTTGAGCAGTCATTGCCACTCGAGGTTGGGCCCATGCGACATCATTCCATTTTCTGTGTAACATTGTATACGTTGTATTTTGCTACAAGAATCATGTTTTGCATTATTGATATTGTCTCGTGTTTCGTTGTAGTATGTAAGACTTGATTACCATTTTTTTTTTTTTTAAAGATTTGCAGTATATATATATGATGATGATGAAAAGAAAAGAAAAGAAAAAGTTTTATAATAATTTGGTCAGAAAATGGTTTTTAGCCTTACACACAATACTTCTCAGTCACCTGAGTCTTGTAGGAGCGCCTGAATCTTATAGAATAGGAAGAGTCATGGGACAGGTCTTGTCATCAACAGTTTGGACCACTATTCTGAAAACCGGACCAGACCTGTTCAACCAGGAACCGGCACCATCTTCGGTCCTGTTTCCCCTGAAAACCGGTAATCTCAATCAAACTGGATTGACCCGCTGTTGGACTGTCGGAATAGTGCCAAATCGAGATCCAATCGCAAGTCAATCCTGCCGAATTCTGGCATCGTTCAAGGGAGATAACACCACCATAAGACTTGTCAACATCTCCATGACAAAACCCTTCCATTTTCAGTGGCCGTCGTCCAACCTTTCATCGCTCGCTGTCCACCTATTGTTTGTGCAACTGTCGGCCTTCCTTCTTGATTCCGGTAGATTCCGACGTCGTTCGAACTCCCTAACACCACCATAAGATTCATTGGCAACTCTACATCAAAAGCCCCATCATTTCAAACTTCGATTGGCCATCAATCGTCATCGCCGCAACCACTCGCCAATCTTTTTGGGTGACTGTCCAGATTGTAGGGGTGTTTTGGATATATTTCAAATCTTTAGGGACTCATAAATTATTTAGGGGTGTTTTTGATGAATTTCAAACATTTAGGGACTAAAAGAATTTTACAGGATACCCATCGACCGGGTCAAGGCCTTTGGACCCCGGACCCAATTCATACTCTTTATCCTTGTTCAATCAAACCTGAGTTTTAGCATACTGCCAAACCAAAAGCGAAGAGGAGAAAGGTATATTTATGTAAAACGAATTTAATGCAGTAAAACTTATTGAACGAAGATTTGGTCCAGTTGTGTTTATACAGCCTGTACTGAGCTAACTTTAGTGGCAGTTATCTCCTGTTGCTATTGTACTTATCTTGTTCATCTCTTGTGGATGTCTGTACGTACGTTTCAATAATGTAACAAGTCACTTTTTCGGTTTTTGATTTATGTCATGTTTTTTTCTTTCAAAGGGATTCCCTTAACCAAAATAACAATGTTATTATGATGCGAAATCTAAAACTATAATATTTGTATCCAAAAAAAGCTATGTACGTTTTCTCAACTAGAACAGGGTGCTCTACCTACAAAGAGTCGCATCAAAATTAAAAAAGATGCAAAAAATAAAAAAAATAAAAAAAATAAGAACTAGAAAAATACATGAAAATTAAGTTTAAATTATCATGCAAAGTGAAACCAACTCTCATCCATTTCAAAAAATCTACTCATCCACTCCAAGTTTAGAGGCTCGTTATAGCAATCCAAGAACTCATCTCTAGATAAACTATATTTTGAATCCTTATCTGCATTAGAAGTTCCTTCTTCTACACTTGTTTTTTCTGTGCCCAGTTTCACTATCTTAGACTCTGGTTTCGTTGAAACTCTAATTTGTTTTTCATCTTGCTTTATTTTCTTACTCAAATGAGAATTCCAATAGTTCTTGATTTCATTATCAGTCCGACCAGGTAATCTCCCAGCAATCAAAGACCACCTATCCATGTATCAAACCCTTCAACTGGTTAAATTATTGAATCCCACCAAAGAGTAATTAAAATACATGAGTTAATTAATTAATTACCTGTTTCCAAGGAGTTTATGCAGCCTGAGTATCAAGTCCTCTTCTTGGTCTGATATATTGCCTCTCTTGATGTTTGGCCTAAGATAATTCATCCATCTTAACCTACAACTCTTCCCACATCTACTCAGACCTGCAATAGTTAAATCTCCATTAATTTAATTAAGCTTGCGCATCAAACAAAACAAAAATGTGTGTATATGAGACCTGCTTTGGCTGCAACTGATTTCCATCTCTTTGGACCATGGATTTCAATAACCTGTGCCAATTTCTGGTCTTCTTCAGCGGTCCATGCTCCTCTATTAGCTTCTTTCTTGTTGCATTGACTTCTGAGGGGAGCCATTTGCATCTTTATTATCTTTTCCTTCTATGACCAAGCAAATAAGCACACAAAACAAAACGAAGAAGCAGGATGGGGAGGAGGTATAGCAAATGTGTACTGTAGTTTAAAGCTTTTGTAAGTGATATTTATGGCTTAGGGAGTGATGAGATGGGTCCCTTCTATCTAGCTACCTTTCTTTACGCAGAATTTGACACCCAACTAACCATTTATAAATGAGAGCGAGCGAGTTCACAGAATAAAATATTGTCCTAAAAAATCCCAATCTTGTAAATAATTGAAGAATGAGAGAATCTAGCACGTTACAAGCTTATACTGTTATACATATGTACATAAAACTTGATACTCGCGCTATCTCTTATCATCAATTGGATCAAAAGTGGGAACAAAGGGAAAAAGCAATGGATCTCTGCATATCCGATGACTGTCCTTAATCTTAACTTGTATACATATAAATGGCAACAAGCTAACTGTTTTGCTTGCTTAAAAAAAAATAATAATAATAAATCTGCTGTGCTTCATGTGATGTGTTCATAATTTATGTCAGAAATGGAATTTAACTGGTGACATAACTATAAAATATTGAGAGGTAAATGATGAAAAACAACGAAAAGGGATAAGCAATTTGAGGTCAACAATAGAGTCAAGCTGCAAGCAGATCAAAACAAGGGTCAAATTCAACATTATATAACGGGAGCCCTATCACATGGGGAATAATACTGTGCCCAAACGGGGCATTTGAATTATATAATATTTTATTTTATGGGTATATTATATTAACAAAAAAAAATCATCTTGAAGATTACTGAGAATATTTAGAAAATGTGTTTGGTTCGTTCGAATAAATTGATGAATAATATGTATTGTTAGGAGGATAAATGGGTGGGTATGTCAGCCAGCCACCACCATCGACCGTCGCCGACAGTCGATGGAATGGCACAAGACTAGCCATATATGGCCAGTTGTGCGCTGACAAAGCTGGAAATGGCCATCGATCACAAATCCATGGCCGAAATTCAGCCAAATCTATGGCCATTTCAGGGCCAGATCGATGGTTGTTTCATAGCCAGATCTGTGGCCATTTCACGGCCACATCTTTGGTCGTGAAACGGTCATGGAAACTCCAGATCTGGTCGGTTCCAACCATGGATCCATGACCAGAAAAGGCCTAACCGACGCACGACCGGCCAGATCCAGCCAGTCGTGCACCATTACGATGACTGACACCGACGGCCGACGATGGTGAGTCATGACCGGTGGTGGTCTTAGGTGACTGAAGGTATTTTGTTAACTTTTAAACTTTTTTGGCTAGAATGTTTTAACTAATTTCTCAAATGTAGGGGGCTAGGCTAATTTTTATCTGGTAGACATTTAAGGGTAATTGTGTTCGAAATGGTTTTTAATTAAGGGCAAAAAGGGTAGAAAAATCATATTACCCCGGTAATGTTTTAATAACGTCCCTTAACAAGGTAATAAGATTACCCCTCACATTACCAACAATAAACACTATTTACAATAAAAGATTACCGTAATATTTTATTACTTAGACCATCTCCAATCACAAACACCAAATTGGTGTAAGTTTCACACCAAATTGGTGTGATTTTTTGTGTATTTCACTATTGCATCTCTAACCCATTACACCGAAAAAAATATTCCTTAGAATATTCTCTTTCTTTTTCTTTCTATTAATAATCAACAATTAATCTATTTCACCAATTATTTTTTATATATTAATTAAATATTGGGAATGACATTTTTATTAAATAATAATTACTTTAAAAATTATACTAAATTAATAAAATTAAGCATTTATTTAATCAAATAAACATTATATTTAATATATGAAAAAACATTACATCTAATATAAAATGCCACAAAAAAAAAAAAAAAAAAAAAGAGAGAGAGAGAGAGAGACACAACAACAACACAAAAGTAAAATTCCATATTGATAGTAATTTAATTTTCTAAACTAGTATATTCTTTTTACAAATGATCAATTAATGCATTTCGAAGAGCATGGTGAGCCTCTGTATCCTTGATTCCCACAAATTTTCTTTTAATTTTAGTGTTTTTAAATTAATGTTAATTTTTATTTTGAGTTATTATAATTTAATATTTGTATTAAATAAAGTTTTGTTTTTAATTTTTCATCATTTTTTGAATTATATAATTATTATGAATTTATTATTATAAATAATAATCAAATTAACATAAATACAAATAACAAAAATAAGAAAATACAATATATTTTATAGTAGATGAATAGTATCACACCAAATTAGTGTGGATGAATAGTATTACATCAAATTTGGCGTGACACTGTTCACTTACACCAATTTAGTATAATTTTTGTTGTTGGGTTGGAGCACATTTTCCACACACCAAAATGGTATTGGGTTAGATGCTCTTACAAACCAAACATAGGAATCTTGTAAAATAAACAAATATTATCCCGTTGTCTTATATACACCTGATCCAAACAGCCCCAAAAGAGTGAAACATGTAAATTTGTGTTTATTGGTTTAAATCTTTCTCCATTCATAGAAAGTCTTATATTAAACACATGCTTCTCAGTATTCATCTGTCAAAAATTTCAGTGTATCATTATATAAATAATTTTATTCTGTGTTTTTGGTCTGCAATCTACAGTCGCTTAATGCCTGCACTTGTTTTAAAGTTTGGGGCCCGACTCGATTTAAGAGATTTGTGAAATAAAAAAATAAAAAAACCAGTCAAATTTAGGTCAAGACTTTATGGTAGTTGGTTATCTTTGTTCTTTATCAATTTGCAGCTCCCAATTAACCCAAAGATCGACCACTTTTTTGTCTATATTCTCTTCCAAAAGTGTAAGGTTAGATTAATCCTGGAATTAAGAGTTTGTGGGTTTTCCATTTTTTGTATAATGGAATATATAAAAGGGATTTATTCAGGGATTAGGTAGAATTGAGAATTACTTTACGCACTTTTATAATAAGAAATAAGTTTTATTAATTAGTTGGAGATTCCATGACCAAATCTTTGTGGATACATATGTATTGGAAGGGCATGTGTAGTTTCATACATCTTAATTAATGAATATGCAGCAGATAATCATGATAATTAGTGTACTGGGTGTGGGACAAAAGCTAATGTTTTAATATTAACAAATTAAATTAGTGTTATCTTTTAGATATTAGTGAAGCAATGTATCAATTATTTGATTGATTTAGTCTGTTTCAGGATCGGTATCCAGTATCAATTAACAAATTATTTGTTTGTTATTAATTGTAATTCATCCATTTCTTATACTAGTCAAGGTTATATAACGGTAGATTAAAATGATTTATTTTGTGGAGTTTAAGAATGTAAAATTATGTAGGTGCTTTTGGTTTAGGGTCATATAAGATTACTCAGATAATCTTCGTTTAATTTTAAAAATTTCCTATGGGACGTTTGGATCATATAATGTTTATTATATAAGTATATTATATTAACCGAAAGAAAGATCACCTTCAAGACTACTAGGAATGTTTAGAAAATGTGTTTGGTTGGTTTGAATGAATTGGTGAATAATATGTTTGGTTGAGAGGATAAATGAATGAGTATGTTATATAGATTACTAAATTGCCCTCCTTTTTAAATATTAACATTATGTATTTGTTTATTATTTTTTAAATCGTTTCTTTTAATCCCCTACATTTAAAATTTTACTAAAACACCCCAATTATAAAAAACTTTAATTTATAGCAAAATCAACCCCACCCACCCCAAGCCACTACCGGCAGCCAGCCACTGTCGCCGCCACCGTCGACAATCAACGGAATGACACACGATTAGCCGTATATGGTCGGTCGTGCGTCGGCAAAGCTGGAAATGGCCATGGATTTCAAATCCATGACCCAAAAGTGGCCAAATCTATGGCCATTTCACGGCCATAGAATGCCAAATCTAGTCAAAAAGGCCTTGTCGACGCACGATCAGCCAAATCTTGTCGGTCGTGCACAATTATAGCGACTGGCGCTGGCGGCCGACAGTGGTCTTGGGTGACTAGGAGTATTTTGTTAACTTTTAAATTTTTTTATGGCTGTGGTGTTTTAGCTAATTTCTCAAATGTAGGGGGGGCTGGATAATTGTTATTTGGTAAACATGTGAGGGTTATTGTGTCCGAAATAGTTTTTAATTAAGGGCAAAATGGGTAGAAAAATAAATTACCTCGGTAATGTTTTAATAACACTCCCTAACAAGGTAATAAAATTACCCCCCACATTACCAACAGTAAATACTATTTGCAATAAAAGATTACCGTAAAAAATTTTATTACTTGCAAACCAAACACCGAAATTTTGCAAAACAAACAAAGATTACCTCCGTTATCTTATATACCCCTGATCTAAACGACCCCTACAAGTAACAAAATATTACGGTAATCTTTTGTTGTAAATAGTGTTTAATGTTGGTAATATAGAGGGTAATCAGATTACCTTGCCAGAGGGTATTATTAAAATATTACCAAGATAATCTGATTTTTATACCTATTTTGCCCTTAATTAAATACCATTTCGACACAGTTGTCCTCAAATGTCTACCAAATAACTATTACCCAGACCCCTTATATTTGAAAATTTAGCTAAAACACTCCAGTCACAAAAAAAGTTTAAAGTTAATAAAATACTCTTAATCACCCAAGACCACCACCGGCGACCACCGTTGACCGTTAACGGCAGTCGTCATATTAGCACACGACCGACGAGATCTAACTAATTGTGTACCAATTTGTCATATCGCTATGGATCTAGCCGAAAATAGTCAAAATAGATCTGGCTGTTTCCGGCCAAATCCACAAAAATGGCCAGAATTGAGAATTACTTTACGCACTTTTATAATAAGATATAAGTTTTATTAATTAGTTGGAGATTCTATGACCAAATATTTGTGGATGCATATGTATTGGAAGGGTATGTATAGTTTCATGCATCTAAATTAATGAATATGCAGCAGATAATCATGATAACTAGTGTACTGGTTGTGGGATAAAAGCTAATTTTTTAATATTAACAAATTAAATTAGTATTATCTTTTAGATATTAACAAATTATTTGTTTGATATTAATTGTAATTCATCCATTTTTTATACTAGTTAACGTTATATGACAGTAGATTAAAATGATTTATTTTGAGGGATTTTAAGAATGTAAATTAAACGTTGATCGTTAAAACCCATATAGTAGCAGCCTACCCGCCTCACATCATCAATACAAGTACGAGCAACAATTTTATTCATATCATAATATTTATTATATTTATTTATGCAGAAGTTAAAGTGTGTTTTTAACAATTTTAAATCAAATTAAGTATTAATTGTAAAAACTTAATAGCAATTTTATCAATGGCAAATAAACAATAATATATAATATTTTTATGCCCAAAATTGCATAAACATAAATCCCAATATATGAAACTTAATGTATTTTCACTATTTAAGAAAAGAGTATTACATACCTGAATCCATGAGTAATCTCTTTATGGAATTATGAAAGAATGCATTATATATCTTTCCCTTTATTCCCTTTCTGTCAATTTCTTCTTTTGATGAATAAAGAAAAACATACGTAAAAATCAATTGGGAATATAGAGAGAAGACCCCTTTTATATGACAATTTTAATAACTCTCAAACTGTAGTTATTTTATTAACTGCAGTAACCTCTCCATCAAAGGTAAATGACCATCATGCCCCTTAGCCAATTTAATTATTTCAGAATAACCATGGACCACCTTATGTGAATTAATATATTTCTAACATTCTCCCACTTGATCCATGTAATACTACATAACTTTATATTTCAGAAATAATACACAATGTGTACACAATAATAATTAGCCAAAGGCCATATCTTAAAATAGTCAAGCATATAAACATTATTAAGCAAGAACCCATAAGGATCATGGCGATCGTAAACAATCCCTTTTCATGTATCACGTTACAAATTCTATACTTAGAATAATCTATAATGATTCTTAATGGTACAACAATAATGTCCTTATCAAGGACAAATTATGTCATCTTTATCATTCATGTAAACCAAACAACATAATAAAAAGAAACACATAACAGAATAATTTATATGAATAAAAAACAACACATCAAGAGCTCAGAGTATCTAAAACATGAGGAGCGTAATGTAAATCAAGAAACATATACAACACATCACAAATCAATCATGACGGGCAATAATACCCATCATCTCAACGTGCTCACTATATATAGGTCTTAGGTGACAACCCTTTAGTCAGCAGATCCGTTATCATAAAATTTGTGCTGATATGCTTAATATTCACACTCTGTTTTTGAACTTCTTCTTTAAAGGCAAAATATTTCAATTCCATATGTTTAGCACCCTTGGAATATTTGTCCTTTTTAGAGAAGAAAACTCCTACGGTATTATCACAATAAATTTTCAACGGCCTGGCAATATGTCGACAATCCCAAGCCCTAAAATAAAATTCTGCAACCATAATCCCTGAACTGTGGCCTCATAGTATGCCACAAACTCAGCCTCCATTGTGGAAGCAGTAATGACAGACTGCTTTGCACTTTTCCATGAAACTGCTCCTCCAACTAACATAAATACGTACCTAAATGTGGATTTCCTAGTGTCTACACAACCAGCGAAATCTGAATTTGAATATCTAGTCACCTCAAGATAATCAGATCTCCTATAAGTAAGCATATGATCCTTCATCCCTTGTAAATATCTCAACACTTTCTTTGCAGCTTGCCAATGATCTATTTCAGGATTACTTTGATATCTGCCCAGCAAGCCGACCGCAAAACTAATATCTAGTCTAGTACATGTTTGAGCATACATTAAACTTTCAACAACAAATGCATAAGGAATATGCTCCATTTTCTTACGTTCCAATTCAATATGTGGGCATTGCTTAAGGCTTAACTTGTCACCTTTTTGAATTGGAAATGGACTCGTAGAGCACTTATCCATGTTGTATCTCTCCAAAGCTTTGTTGATATAAGCTTTCTAAGACAAGCCCAACAATCCTTGTGATCTATCAAGAATAATTTCACCCATATCCTTCATCTCAAAGTTCTTAGAGAGAAACTTCTTGGTTTCATAGATCAGATTATTAGTAGCAAGCAAGATATCATCAACATACAGAACTAGAACTACAAATGCGCTCCCACCGACCTTCAAATATATACACCAATCAGCAGTGTTTTCCTTAGATCCGAAAGTGGTAATGGTACTATGAAACTTGAGATGCCACATCCTAGAAGCTTGTTTCAATCCATATATTGATTTCTTTAATTTACACACCATGTGTTCCTTCCCTTAAATTAGAAAACCATCAGGTTGTTCTATGTACACTTCTTCTAAATTCTCATTCAGAAATGCAGTTTTTACATCCATTTGAAGAAGCTCCAGATCATAATGGGCTACCATTACCATAATAATTCTAAACGAGTCCTTTGAGGAAATTGACGAAAAAGTCTCGTTGTAATCAACACCATCTTTCTGAGTAAAACCTTTGATAACAATTCTAGACTTGTACCGTTCAATATTGCTATTAGAGTCGCACTTGGTCTTAAAGACCCATTTACACCCGACTATTCAATAACCTTTAGACAATATTACTAGATCCCAGACTTCACTGTATTCCATTGGTTTTAACTCTTCTGTCATGGCGTCTAACCACTTTGTAGAATTATCACTTTGAATGGCTTGTGAAAACAAAATTGGATCTACTTCCATACCAAAGTCAAATTCTGACTCTTTAAAATAAATCATATAATCATTAGTAATGGCATATCTCCTTTGTCTTTGATATTTTCTTAATGTTACTTCTTGTTGTTCATTTACTACTTCATGTGGCTCATCCATTTCAGGTTCATTGACTGCTACATTATTAGGAAGTGTTTGCTCAATTCTTTGTTGTTCTTAATTGTTATCAGAACGTCTGAGAACTACAGGAACCACAACCTCAATAGAAGTCATAGGCATAAGGACCTGTACCCTGACTTCTTGAATATCCACTTTACATGGTTTAACACTCCCACTAGTTTCACCATTCTCAATGAACCTCGCATTTCCAGTTTCAACTATTCTCGTATTATGGCCAAGATAGTAAAAACAATACTCTTTAGATTTTTCTAGATAACCAATAAAAAATCCACTGATCATTCTTAAATCTAGTTTCTTTTCATGTGGATTATAAATCCTGACTGCTGTCGGGCAACCCCAAACATGTAGGTGCCTCAAACTAGGATTCCTTCATGTCCACAATTCAAAAGAAGTCTTTGTAACTACCTTACTAGGAACCCTGTTTAATGAATATACAGTAGTCTTTAATGCATATATCCACAATGATGAGGGTAACGAGGAGTTACTCAATATACTCCTAACCATATCCATTAATGTACGGTTACACCTTTCTACAACACCATTTTGTTGCGGTGTCTCTGACATTGTGTATTGAGCACATATGCCTCGACTTTCCAAGAATTTAGCAAATGACCCTGGCCATTGTCCAGATTCATTGTATCTACCATAATATTCATCACCTCATCTGATTGTACTACTTTCACCTTTCTATCTAATTGTCTTTCAACTTCAGTAATGAATACCTCTAGGTAGGGATGAGCATAATACCGCCCCTGTGGAGACCCGTCCTGACCCACCCCAAACGGGGCAAAGTTTCCCAGAATTATTCAGGGTTCGGGTCAGGCCCGGGCTGAAAACCGATCCCCGAATTCAGGGACGGGATTGGTTTTACCCCACGCCGAATTTCCCGACCCGACCCGTATATATATATAATTGATCTACCATATGCAGCGGAAAACAAAATTCAATTGGTAAATCAATTACCTTTCTTTGCCTAGATCCGAGTATAGATTATACCGTTTACACGTTTATAAACAAAAATCTGTATAAAGTAAATCCATTCAAGGATTAGAATACTTACGTACGTTAGGAGGCTCCTTCAACTATTCGAATATCTCTGATTTCAAACAGGAACACTGTTCACTGTACTGTCATGGGTACTGTTCACCATCTACTGTTCACGTGATTTTTTACCAATCGATCCAAAGTAGGATCGCACTCACAGAAGTCCACACGAAGATAATCCGCAGAACCCTTGATTATTTTGCTAGAACAATCAAGGGCTTCAAGAATCAAGAAAGAAAAACAAGAAAGTTTTCTTCTTGAGAGAGAGAGAGAGATAGGGTGGCTAGGGTTTTAATTGAATGAATAATTCCTATTTGTTTTAATTTTAAGTTGCACTTATATAGTGCAACAATTAAAACCCTATTCCACTTAGGAATAGTCATGGGCTCCAACCCCAATTCACCCTCGCAACCAAACACACCCTTTATGATATTTTAATTAATTAATTATTATTATAATTAAAATCAATCAATATATAATAATATATTAACATTTAATTAATAATAATTCATTTAAATATATATAGAGATATATTTAAATATAATCTCACTAATTTAATTTTAACATTAAAATTAAATACAGGCAACAACCTCGGCAAATTTAATTGCACTGTAAGATTACCAAAATACCATTTCATCCTAAAAGATGAAAATACTCTTTTCACAAATTGATTCTTAAATTATCTTCTAAGTGTATGACCCGTAGGCTCCTCATCATATCGGCAGTGTGTAGTTTCGCGATTAACACCAATTAACCGTCTCACTACACACAAACCAAGATTGGCCCTTAGCAAGGCATCATAGCCACCCGATAGATTCGAATTCAGCGAAACCGTAGCCTGTCAACAATATGGTTACCGTGCAATCAAATCCTTTCATCAACTGTTATCTCATCGAGACTGAGGTACAGAAATAGTGTTAACCTCAGATATCCTCGACATGTTTATATTCAGTTATTGGACAAATGACAGGAATATTAAATTGGATTGAGCATCAACTCAATCCCACTGTGGCCACAGATTTAGTGTCATTGCCATTTACTGAATTACCCAGTGAGATCATTTCTCCCGTACCTAGGAGTGATGAATCCTTTTGTCGATCCACCATAATCTCGATACACTTCTCAATGTAGTCAATCACTACCGTATTGATAGCTCTGAATAGAACTACTTTGGGTTAATGTCAAACTACACCAATTGATGCACAAGGCGCTCTGGTGATCTCAAGTCTAAGGATACATGCACCGCCATCCGTTAGAGGATTTATTCATAGACACTGGGGTTACCATCCATATGGAATCCTCTGGTGGGTCTGTCCAGTGAACTTGCCTCTAGCAAGCACCCATGCATTACACCAGGTTGTTGGCAAACAACCTTGACAAGTGAGATCAGTCACTGCCTTTCAACAGGGTCGTTCAACACTATGATAGTCTTACCGTATTATCTGTGTTCTTGGTCAGAATAATATTGGGGCTACGGACATTTCTAGAATGGTCACCATATGTGATCATAGGGTTCTCACTACCAAAATTTGAAACACTTGATACCCTTGTCACGGTTCTACCATCCTAAGGACATATATCATTACATATTTATTACAGAGTCAATTTTACAATAATTGATTGGCTCTAGAGCACCTACTATATAATATAGTATATATATCTATCTATATATATATATAAATATATATGGGTTTAGTCACGATCTGGAGTGATTTACCTGTTGACCGATCCAAATCGCTGATCGGATCAGGTTTACCCATTTGACTAAATGGTTGGGGCTTTTTATGGGTTATTCTTAATGGGTTTGGGTTGAATTGGGCTACTTAATAAATAGGCTTGTGCTTCTTTTATTTGGGTTTATATAATCTAAAACAAATAGACTTTAAAGAAAAAATAGGCTGGATCAACTAAAAGAATAGTTTTATTATATGGGTCAATATTGATTCGAATTTCTGAAAAAAATTTGGAATCCGAATTTCTGGAAATTTTAATTGTAAAACATGTCTAGAAAATCACGTTTCAGTATAAGAAAAATTTGATTCTGGCCAACTTTCTAGCCACTTAATAGATTTACCAACTCAATCAAATTTACAAACCCAATCAAATTTGACAGCCCTTTTATTTGTCAATTTTCAAACCCAATTCAATTTCTTCATCCCATAAGAACCTAATATATTAAAAAACAACTTAATAGAAAATACATCAGTTTCTAAACCTGAATTTACTCTAATACCACATGTAAAAACTTAATAGCAATTTCATCAATGGCAAAGAAACAATAATATAATCATATTTCTATGCCCTAAATTGCATAAACATAAATCCCAATATCTGAAACTTAATATATTTTCATTATTTAAGAAAAGAGTATTACATACCTGAATCCATAAGTAATCTCTTTATGGAATTGTGAAAGAAGGCATTGTATATCTCTCCCTTTATTCCCTTTCTGTCAATTTCTTTTTTTGATGGATAAAGAAAAACATACGTAAAAATTAATTGGGAACAGAGAGAGAAGACCCATTTTATATGGCAGTTTTAATAACTCCCAAACTGCAGTAACCTCTCCGTCAAAGGTAAATGACCATCATGCCCCTTAGTCAATTTAATTATTTCAGAATAACCATGGACCACCTTATGTGAATTAATATATTTCTAACATTAAATTGTGAGATAAAATAAGGGTTTAGTTTAAAAGCTATATTTTTTTATGCAAGTTTTACAATTAATTTTTAGTTATTATATTAAAGCATTTTGTTGAAATATCTAAATTGTGTTATTTTTAATATGAGCAATGCTAGTTTTACAAAGACACATACAAAGGGGGTATAAAGATAATTCCCACCCTTGATTTTCATGATTTCTCTCTCTCTCTCTCTCTCTTTTCGTTTTTTCTTTGTTAGATATGCAGTAGCTAGAACATTCAAATTCACACAACCTGTCGAGTCACCAACACATCAACAATGGCATCATCCAATTATTCAAAGGAAATTAATGGAAGTATCATCAAGTTCAAGAACATATATTGTAGATGTGAA